CTGAAGAACAGATTTGATACATTAAACACTAAAGACCGAAGACCAGAAGAGTTGTGGGATGACATCAAGAACATCATACAAGAAGAAAACAAAAGGTAATTGGGAAGACAAGAAAGATGGAAAAGACCAAAATGGATGTCAGCAGAGACTCTGAAGCTTGCTATCCAGTGTAGAGATGCTAAAACAAATGGAAGTGAGGAGGCACAAGAGCGGAAAAGAAAATTTCAAATGTCAGCTCAGGAAGACATTCAAATATTATAATGAACTATGTAAAAACTTGGAGTTAGAAAACCAAAAGGGAAGAATACAGTCAGCATTTCTCAAGCTCAGGGAGCTGAAGAAGAAATTCAAGCCTCAACTTGTGGTACTATAGGATTACATGGGCAAAATACTGAATGATGCAGAAAGCATCAAAATAAAATGGAAGGAACACACAGAATCACCATACCAAAAAGAAATGGTTCAACCACTTACAGAAGTAGCATATGATCAAGAGCCAATGATCATGAAGGAAGAAATCAAAGGTACATCGAAGTCATTGGCAAAGAACAAGGCACCGGGAATAGATGGAATACAAATTGAAATCTTTAAACAAACTGATGTGGCACTGAAGGCATTCACTCATCTATGCCAAGAAATTTTGAAGACAACTACCTGGACAACTGACTGAAAGAGATCTGTAATTGTGCCCATTCCAAAGAAAGGTGACCCAATGGAATGCAGAAATCATCGGACAAAATCACTGATAGCCCATAAGAGCAAAATTTTACTAAAGGTAATGCAAAAACAAGCTGCAACCATACAGTGACAGAGAACTTCCAAAGGTTCAAACTGAATTCAGAAGAGGATGTGGAACAAGGTGTATCATTGCTAGTGTCAGATGGATCTTGGCTGAAAGCAGAGAATACCGGAAAGATGTTTACCTGTGTTTTACTGACTACGCGAATGCTTTCTATTGTGTGGATCATGACAAACTGTGGACGATTTTACAAAGTATGAATATCTGGAACATTTAATTGCACTCATGAGGAACCTGTACATCGACCAAGAATCAATTGTTTGAACAAAAAAGGGAACAACGAATAGTTTAAAATTAGGAAAGGTGTGTGCCAGAGTTGTATTCTTTCACCATACTTATTTAATCTGTATACTGAACAAATAATCCGAGAAGTCAGATTATCTAAAGAAGAATTTGGTATCAGGATAGGAGGAA